GACGCCGATCTGATCTCGCTGGGGAGTGAATTCTACAAGCGGGGGGCCACCACTGAGAAGGCCCTGTCTCTCGTCCCCACCAGACGCGTTTGCGAAGCCGGTGGGACCAAGAGCAGGGCCTCCCCAGTAGATCTTAAATTATGAGGTGGAACATAGAGGGAGATACGTTCGGACAAGTAAGCTGGGCCGGATCCATATAGGGCAGTGTTTCTCAACCTGGGGGTCACGACCCCTGAGGGGGTCGCGAGGGGGTGTCAGAGGGGTCACTGAAGACCATCAGAAAACACAGCAACTACAACTCCCAAATGTCAAGGTCTATTTCTCCCAAACTCTACCAGTGTCCACATTTGGACATGTTGAGTATTCGTGCCAAGTTTGGTCCAGATCCATCATTGTTTGAATCCACAGTGCTCTCTGGATGTCGGTGAACTACAATTCCCAAACTCAAGGTCAATGCCCACCAAACCCTTCCAGTATTTTCTGTTGGCAGTAGGAGTTCTGTGTGCCCAGTTTGGTTGAATTCCATTGTCGGTGGAGTTCAGAATGCTCTTTGATTGTAGGTGAACTATAAATCCTAGTAACTACAACTCCCAAATTACAAAATCAATCCCCTTCCAAGCCCACCAATATTCAAATGTGGGCGTATTGGGTATTTGTGCCAAATTTGGTCCAGTGAATGAAAATACATCCTGCATTTCAGCAACGAAAATAATTTTATGGTTGGGGGTCACCACAACCTGAGGAACTGTATTAAGGGGTCGCGGGCTTGGAAAGGTTGAGAACCACTGATATAGGGTTTTATATACAGCAGCTTTCACACTGGAGCTTCACACACGATGGCCTTCAAAGTGGGGCTTCTCTCACCAAAGCCTACTCACACTGAGGCCTACCTCACACTGAGGTCTTTCTCCTACTGAGGCCTACGAACACATTTAGGCCCTTCTCCCACAGAGACCTATCACACAGACTGAGGGCTACTAAGCTACAGGCACACCTACTTATATAGAACTGCAGCTTTTGCTAAGTCAGTGGTTCTCAACCTTCCTAATGCCGCGACCCCTTAATACAGTTCCTTATGTTGTGGTGACCCCCAACCATTACATTATTTTCTTTGCTACTTCACAACTGTAATTTTCCTCCTGTTATGAATCATCTTGTAAATATCCGATATGCAGGATGTATTTTCATTCATTTGGAACAAATACTCGATACGCCCAAATTTGAATACTGGTGGGGTTGAGGGGACGATTGATTTTTGTCATTTGGGAGTTGTAGTTGCTGGGATTTATAGTTTACCTACAATATCAAAGGGCATTCTGAACTCCAACAAGGATGGAATTGAACCAAACTTGGGACACAGAGCTCCCATGACCAACAGAAAATACTAGAAGGGCTTGGTGGGCATTGATTGACCTTGAGTTTTGGAGTTGTAGTTCACCTACATCCAGATGCATCTGGACCAAACTTGGCACGAATACTCAACATGCCCAAATGTGGACACTGGTGGGGTTTGGGGAAGACAGACCTTGATATTTGGGAGTTGTAGTTGCTGGGATTTATAGTTCACTTATAATCAAAGAGCATTCTGAACTCCACCAATGACAGAATTGGGCCAAACTTCCCACACGGAACCCCCACGGCCATTAGAGAAAAAACTGTTTTTTAATTGTCTTCGGCGACCCCCCGACACCCCCTCGCAACCCACCCAGGGGTCCCAACCCCCAGGTTGAGAAACACTGTGCTAAGTCATTTTATCCATTTAACCCTTTCAGTACTTGACTAAAAGTTGATATTTAATATTTCTGACAATATCCTAGTTGAATTTCAAAGTTAGCTCTGAAGAGTCATTAGAAGCATTTGGATAAGAACTTATGCCACTCTCCCTTGACCAATTGAGTTTGAAGACTGAGTGAACAGTGTAGATAACTGATGGGACTGTTCTATTGTGCACTAGCCATCCCCTGCCAGGTGTTGCTGTGGCCCAGTCTGGTGATCTGGAAAATAAAGTAACGAGAAAGTGTTGGTTTCTAATGTATGTCATTTTTTTCTGCTTGTGGGTAAACAGTATTTTTTGTTGTTTCTTTGTCAGTGTTGATGTGGAAAGTGTCTGGTTTGCCTATTCTGGAACATGCAACATATCATTGTCCTTCTTTGGGGGTCCCATTCAAATCTAGAATACTATATCTGTCATATACATGTGTCTGTGCGTGTAAATCATATCTAACTATCTACCTATCTACCTATCTACCCATCTACCCATCTACCCATCTACCCATCTACCCATCTACCCATCTACCCATCTATCTATCTATCTATCTATCTATCTATCTATCTATCTATCTATCATCTATCTATCTATCTATCTATCTATCTATCTATCTGTATCTATGGCTGGATGGCTCTTTTTCAGAAGGGCTTTGATTATGTTTTCTTGCCCTGGTGAAGGGAGTTGGACTGGATGGCCTTAAGGCAGCATTTCTCAGCCTGAGGGTCGGGACCCCGGGGGGGGCGGGTCGCAAGGGGGTGTCAAAGACTACCAAAAGGCACAATATTTTCTGTTGGTCATGAGGGTACTATGTGAGAAGTTTGACCCAATTCTGTCGTTGGTGAGGTTCAGAATGCTCTTTGACTGTAGGTGAACTATAAATCCTAGCAACTACAACTCCCAAATGTCAGAGCTATTTCTCCCATGCTCCATTTGTGTTCATATTTGGGCATATGGAGTATTCGTGCCAAGTTTGGCCTAAATCCTTCATTGTTTTGAGTCTACAGTGATCTCTGGATGTAGGTGAACTACAACTCCCAAACTCAAGATCAATGCCCACCAAAACCTTCCAGTATTTTCTGTTGGTCATGGGAATCCTGTGTGCCAAGTTTGGGTCAATTCCATCATTGGTGGAATTCAGAATGCTCTTTGATTGTAGGTGAACTATTAATCCCAGCAACTACAACTCCCAAATGAGAAAATCAATGTTTGGAGTAATGGTCACTCATTGGGTTGTTAGGTATAGTGTGTCCAAATTTGGTGTGAATTGGTCCAGTAGTTTTTGAGTTAAGTTAATCCCACAAATGAACATTACATTTTTATTTATATAGAGAAGCCATCCCCTGCCGCGTGTTGCTGTGGCCCAGTCTGTGTTTATGTGTTTTGTGTGTGTATATATGTGTGTTTATGTATATCTGTGGTTTTGTGCATGCGTTGTAATGTGTTTTTTGTTTTTTAAAGTTTTTGTTTTTTTGGCTTTTAAAGTCTGTTTTTCAGTGTTTTTATGAGTGATGGTCACTCGTTGGCCTGATAGGTGTCTTGTGTCCAAATTTGGTGTCAATTAATGCAGTGGTTTTTGAGTTACGTTAATCCCACAAACAAACATTACATTTTTATTTATATAGATTGGTTAGAGCTCACCTGGACTCGTTCTGGTGACCGCAACTGAAGAAAGAGATAGAAAAGCTGAAAGGTGTCAAGGGAAGGGAGGCCAAAATGGTCAAAGGTCTGGAAACTATTAATCTCTATGAAGAGCAGCACAGGGAGATGGGAGTGTTTAGCTTGGAAAGAAGAAGGCTGAAAGGAGACCCGAGAGATATGTTTACATATTTGAAGGGGTGTCCCATTGAGGAGGGAGCAAACCTGTTTTCTGCTGCACTGGAGACTAGGGTGCAATGAGTTCAAATGGCAGGAAAAGAGATTCCACCAAAATATTAGGAAAATCTTCCTGAGAGTTAGTGCTGTTACTGTCCAAAGTTTCTCCTAATTTTCAGGTGGAATCTCTTTTTTCTGTCATTTGAATCCATTGCTTCATTGTGTCCTAGTTTCTGGAGCAGCAGAGAAAGCGAACTTGCCCCTTTCTTAATGTGACATCATTTCAGATATGTAAACATGGCACTCATGTCCCTTCTCAGACGCCTTTGCTCCAAGCTAAACATCCCCAGCTCCCTCTGCTGCTTCTCATAGCATTCTCATAGCATTTCATCGCAGCTTGGGTGTGACCCTGGACTCATCGCTGAGCCTGGAACCCCAGGTTTCGGCGGTGACCAGGGGAGCATTTGCACAGCTAAAACTTGTGCGCCAGCTGCGCCCATACCTTAGGAAGTCTGACTTGGCCACGGTAGTCCACGCTCTGGTTACATCCCGTTTAGACTACTGCAACACTCTTTACGTGGGGTTGCCTTTGAAGACAGCTCGGAAGCTCCAACTAGTCCAACGCTCGGCAGCCATGATTTTAACAGGAGCGGAGCGCAGGGAGCATACAACCCCCCTGTTGCACCAACTCCACTGGCTACCGATCTGCTACCGGGCTCAATTCAAAGTGCTGGCGTTGGCCTTTAAAGCCCTAAACGGTTCCGGCCCAAGCTACCTATCCGACCGCATCTCTGCCTATGAACCCACCAGGACTTTAAGATCTTCCGGGGAGACCCTGCTCTCGATCCCGCCTGCTTCTCAAGCTCGGCTGGCGGGGACGAGAGATAGGGCCTTCTCGGTGGTGGCTCCTCGGCTGTGGAACGCCCTTCCTACGGACATTAGACTAGCACCATCTCTAATGGTATTCCGCAAAAAAGTGAAGACCTGGCTGTTTGAGCAGGCGTTCGAATAATTAGTGCAATGATTGGTTAATGAACATTGGAACGGAATAATGGATGACGAATCTGGATCATGTTTTTGATGATGAGACGATAGTGAATAGTGAATGGTTATTGTAGTAATTGTTTATTAATTATGTAATATGTTAGGTTGTTAACTGTTTTTACACTGTAGCACTGAATTTTTGCTGTTCTTATTTGTTGTGAGTCGCCTTCGGGCTGAGAACAGCGGTATATAAGTAAAGTAAGTAAGTAAATAAATAAATAAATTGATCATTTTGGTCACCTTTCTCTGGACACATTCCAGTTTGTCCACATCCTTCTTGAATTGTGTCTTTCTAGCAACCTAGTCATCTCTTCCTTCCTCTTCCCCCAGGTTGACGCTTGATTCTGCTCTGTGCCTGTGACTCTTTTGCATTGGACTCCAAGCTTTGTCTCCGCTCCAAGATGGAGTGTGACAACACACCTCCTGCCCGAGCGGTCTGGACCGTGGCGGACCTGCTACGCTTCTCCCCGCCCTGCTCCCCGCCACCGCCTCCCCGCCGCCCGGCCTGGAGCCGCTACCGCCTGTCGGAGAGCATGAAGGGGCTCCTGGTGGCTCTGGTCGGAGGCGGAGTGCCGGCCGGCTTCGTGGCCCCTTTCACCCGCATGGCCAACGAAGCTTCGGGGATCCCTTCCTTGGAGATCCTCTTATTCCGCTGCATCCTGCACCTGCTCTTCTCCTTCTACCTGTGCTGCCGGAATGCCTCGTGCTTTGCACCTCCGGAGGCCCGCCTGCGCAGTTTTCTCCATGCCTTCATCAACGTCATCTCCATCGGCTGCGCCTACAGCTCCTTCATGGTGGTGCCCAGTGGGAACGCCGCCACGGTCCGCAAGGGCTCCTCCACCATCTTCTCCGTCCTGCTGGCCATTTGCATCGGGAACACGAGCCTGACTGGGTACGACTGGTTCGGACTGGTGGGCAGCACCCTGGGCTTGATCATCATGGTGGTGCCGGATGTGCTGAACCTGGACAAGAGCACGCAACTCTACGACACCTTCGGTTACATCTTGGCCTGCCTGGGTGGGATAGCCTTGGCCTTGGGCCTGGTCATCTTCCGAGCCCTGGACTTCCCCACCAAGCTGGTGACGGTGGCCTTCCTGTTTGGCGTGGTGGGCAGCCTGCTGTGCTCTCCAGTGATGTTCCTCCTGCAGGATCCAGTGATGCCCGTGGACCTGCTGACCTGGATTTACGTCGGGTCCATCACCATCCTGGCCTTGGTATCCTTCTTGTGCGCCAGCTACGCGGTGACCAAAGCCCACCCAGCTCTGGTCTGTGCTGTGTTGCACTCCGAGGTGGTGGTCACCCTAGCCGTCCAGTACTATGTCCTGCGCGAGGCTGTCACGCCCTTCGACATCATGGGGGCCGGGGTCATCCTGGGCAGCATTGCGATCATCACAGCCCAGAATATCAGCTGCGACACCACAGAGGAGGACGATGGGTCCATCTTGCACCTTAAGGGGATTGAATAGTGGAGGAAGGATGCACAGGCGGTTGGAGCACGATCTTGACAAGGCAGTGCCTCACAGAATGGGGTATGTCCAGAATTACCACCTACAGAACAGCATGGGAGCTGTTATGGTCCTTCATCCCATGGTCATATTTGGGGCTGGGAAGCAGTAGAGACTTTTAGCCAACTTGAAGATGGTAGGAAACATCTGAGCGTTGAATGTTAACGCTGAATTTCCCAATCGATCCCTTGATGTTGGGATTAAAATGGCAACAGATCTCAGATATTTACCTGGCATAACTACTTCTCCTGGCAAGCCTCCTCTGTGGATCATGGAAATGGAAAAGATGGAGAACTCCCTAAGCTTCAGTCTTGAGGCCCACATTATGAGCACATCTGCTTCTCCTGGCAAACTCCTCTGTGGATCATGGAAATGGAAAAGATGGAGAACTCCCTAAGCTTCAGTCTTGAAGCCCACATTATGAGCAGAAGGCAGACATTTTCCCAAAGGAGAAAACCCTTCCAACCATTTGCAAAAAATCACCTGGAAACTTGCATCATGTAACTGATCCGCCTCGGTGGAATCTCCTCCATGGCAGGAGACGTTCTTCTTCCTCTTATGAGCCACAGAGGAAAAGACACAGATCCTCAGTGTTGCTTCCTCATTGAAGGTAGAAGCACTTGTGACACAGAAGGTCAAGATGGATGGAATGAGGAGCACCTCCAGCTCAAGTGGCCCAAATTTTCAGATCAAGATCCGAGGAGGAGGAGGTGGCAGCCACTGGGGAAACTCCATGAGGCGACTCAAGGGGAACGCACTCAAATGCAACTCCAAATCAAGTGAGACGCAAAGCCACGTTTTGAAGACGAACCTTAAGGAGACTTCTGTAAATGTAATGGGTTGCTCTTTGTGTCGAAGGAGCTGAAGAAGACTTCTGTACATAGAACTGGCATTTTGGTTCTCTCAATGTTTTCTTTCCAATGGTTTATAATAAAAATGACGACTTTTTAAAAAAGCCGAGCTGGAATGTGAAAGGGGTGAATGCATGCTGAGTCAGAGCCACGATTGTGGGAAATGTAGTCCAAGAAAGGCACAGTCCCAAGCTCTGGCGTCATAAGAAGCAATAATATCCAAACATCTGAACTTTTAGAGACAAGGGATAAGATAGAGAGGCTATTTTGCTCCCTGCTGAATCCCCAGGACAAGGATCCCGTTTGTGGAATGAGCTGACCACTGGGCTGCTTAGTCATATGGCTGACCAGTTCTAAGTCTGAAGAAAGACTTAAAAGGGAATGCAATGGGTCTTGGAGGGAGGAGATGTGTTTGTGGGGAGAACTGGAGTACAAAGAGGAAGCTAGGCAAAGCAGGACACAATCTAGAACCCAAACTACACTGTATATCAGTGTTTCTCAACCTTCCTAATGCCGTGACCCCTTAATACAGTCCCTCATGATGTGGTGACCCCCAACCATAACATTATTTTTGTTGCTACTTCATAACTGTAATTTTGCTACCGTTATGAATCGTAATGTAAATATAAGATATGCAGGATGTATTGTCATTCATTGGACCAAATTTGGCACAAATACCCGATATACCCAAATTTGAATACTGGGAGGGTATTGATTTTGCCATTTGGGAGTTGTAGTTGCAGGGATTTATAGTTCGCCTACAAAGAGCATTCTGAACCCCATCAACTTTGAATTGAATTGAACCAAACTTGGCACACAGAAGTCCCATGCCTTGAAAGTACTCTGTTCTGTCGCGTGCTGGGCCTGTAAAGAATTGTCTTTAAATCAGGACATGCGACCTTTGCCCAGCGGGAAGCCAGCCCCCCCCCCCCCCGAAAAGAAGTTCTCAGGGGTTTTCCACCACAAATGATCTTTAGATGGCTTGTGAAGTATAACAAAGTCCTTTATTAATGAACAATCAAACAGAAACGTCTCGTCTTCAGAAAGTTAAACAAATTATTCCAGGCTTTTATGCAATTGGTGGCTTCCTACTCTTGTCCATGAAGGACAGGCAATTGTCTTCAATAACTGTTTCTTTACTTTAAAGGGAAATCCCCTTTTTAACTTCTCCCAGGCTGACTGGGAGTTACTTACTGATGTGGGCTCCGCTACCGGGTCGAACTGCATCTCAAGCACCGAGTGGACCTACCAGTAAAGCCAGTAGATTCTCCAGCTGGAGTTCTTTGGTCTTCCAAACTGTTTACCTTCCGAAATTCCTCAAAGCTTTAGGGTTGTTTCCCTGGAAATCTTTAGAGATCTTTGGATGCTCTTAAGACTGTTCTCCTCCAGAAAGTCTTAAGGGTTGAAGCTTTTTTTTTTTTACAGGAAAAGCTTGTATACACCCTCTAAATTAGCTTTCCTTACTGAGACTAACTAAAAATGGCTCCCTTCCCTTCCCAATTGCCCTGAGCAAGGGGCGGAACCAAAGCTTAACGATGATGGACATGTGACTTGCCCTATGACTGCAACCAAAGGAAGCCACCTTTCTGCAGAATCCCTGAAACCTTGGACTGCAAGCAAACACTTAATACAAAGCAAATAAAGTTGGAGCTCCTGGTACAGCCGTACCAGCATAGACTCACTGGTGTGAGCCTCCCTCCAGCCTCGCACGCTCTCCCTCATCCACACATGTGCACCATGCGCCAAGCACACCTGCTCTTTTCTCTCTACTTGGAGGCTCAAAAACAGCCCTCCTCTTGGCAAAGAGGCCAGCCAGTCACAGCAGAGGAGGGCTTTCGGTGGAAGGATTTGCCATCTGTTTCCAAAAAGGAAGAGGAGAGGCAAAGAGATCTTCAGCCTTCTCTGCCAAAGGGGTACCTAAGACCATCAGAAATATACGTTTTCTGATTTATTTGTCGTGTCAGGGCAATCAGTCAATTGTATTACATTTCTAACAGAACAAAACAAACAGACAAAACACAAAATTTGCAAGCTTGGTGGTTGATTAAATGTCCTTTGACCAGTATCTGGCCACTTGGAGTGCCTCTGGTGTTGCCGCAAGAAGGTCCTCCATGGTGCATGTGGCAGGGCTCAGGGTGCATTGCAGCAGGTGGTCAGTGGTTTGCTCTTCTCCACACTCGCATGTCGTGGATTCCACTTTGTGGCCCCATTTCCTTAGGTTGGCTCTGCATCTCGTGGTGCCAGAGCGCAGCCTGTTCAGCACCTTTCAAGTCACCTAGTTTTCTATGTGCCCAGGAGGGAGTCTCTCATTTGGTATCAGCCATTGATTGAGGCTCTGGGTTTGAGCCTGCCACTTTTGGACTCCCGCTTGCTCAGGTGTTCCAGCAAGTGCCTCTGTAGATCTTAGAAAACTATTTCTAGATTTAAGTCGTTGACATGCTGGCTGATACCCAAACAGGGGATGAGCTGGAGATGTCACTGCCTTGGTCCTTTCACTATTGGCTGCTACTTCCCGGCGGATGTCAGGTGGTGCAATACCAGCTAAGCAGTGTAATTTCTCCAGTGGTGTAGGGCGCAGACACCCCGTGATGATGTGGCATGTCTCATTAAGAGCCACATCCACTGTTTTAGCGTGGTGAGATGTGTTCCACACTGGGCATGCGTACTCAGCAGCAGAGTAGCATAGCGCAAGGGCAGATGTCTTCACTGTGTCTAGTCGTGATCCCCAGGTTGTGGCAGTCAGCTTTCGTATGATACTGTTTCTAGCACCCCCTTTTTGCTTGATGTTCAGGCAGTGCTTCTTGTAGGTCAGAGCATGGTCCAGAGTGACTCCCAGATATTTGGGTTCGCTGATGGTCTTTGGCAACCCCTCTGAAACTCCCTCGCAACCCCGCAGGGGTCCCAACCCCCAGGTTGAGAAACACTGCTCAATATAACGTATTTCTAAATGCTGTTGTACTGATTGCAGCTCTCCTCGTTCTTCACCACTGGCTTTGTCTGGTAAGAACCGATGGAAATCTCAGGCCAAAATCCTTGGGAGTGCTGTATGTTCTGTACACCAAAAGCACACAGAAAGCAGAACTGAGACTCATCCAGGCCTCCAGGTATTGTTAGGCAGAAGCTCCTAGCATCCCTAACCCACATGAGTGAATCATGCTGCATTCCAGCAAGGTCTAAAGGGATACACAAATGCTGTTTGCACATTTCATAGAATCCTAGAGTTGGAAGAGACCACGTGGGCCATCCGGTCCAACCCCACTCTGCCAAGAAGCAGGAAAATCGCATTCAAAAATCGCAACAGATGGTCATCCAGCTTCTGCTTAAAAGCCTCCAAATGAGCCTACATCACACTCCGGGGCAGAGAGGGTTCCAGCTCTATCAGGAAGTTCTTCCTAATGTTCAGGTAGAGATCTCATGGGCCATCCAGTCCAACCCCATTCTGCCAAGAAGCAGGAATATTGCATTCAAATCACCCCTAACAGATGGCCATCCAGCCTCTGTTTAAAAGCTTCCAAAGAAGGAGCCTCCACCACGCTCCGGGGCAGAGAGTTCCACTGCTGAACGGTTCTCACAGTCAGGAAGTTTTTCCTAATGTTCAGATGGAATCTCCTTTCTTGTAGTTTGAAGCCATTGTTCCATTGTGTCCTAGTCTCCAGGGCAGCAGAAAACAAGCTTGCTCCCTCCTCTCTATGATTAGATATTTATACATGGCCATCTTGTCTCCTCTCAGCCTTCTCTTCTGCAGGCTAAACATGCCCAGCTCTTTAAGCCGCTCCTCATAGGGTTTGCTCTCCAGACCCTTGATCATTTTAGTCGCCCTCCTCTGGACACATTCCAGCTTGTCAACAGTAAAGATGTTTGGATATTGTTGCCTGTTATGATGCCAGAGCTTGGGACTGTGCCTTTGTTGCACTACATTTCCCACAATGTAGTGCAACAAAGGTACAGTCTCAAGGTCCGGCATCATAACTGGCAAGCCTTTTCTAGAAGCATTCTCTCCTGACATTTCACCTGCATCTGTGGCAGGCATCGTCAGAGGTGGTGAGGTCTGTTGGAAACTAGGAAAATGGGGTTTATGTATCTGTGGAGCCCCCGGTGGCGCAGTAGGTT